TGTGTAGGGGTGTCTCTGTATGCCCCTACACTTGTGGTGCCCTTTGGAGGCAATGGATGGTGCCCTTTGGTGGCAAGGGATAATGCCCTTTGGTGGCAATGGTCATGTTCATGTTAAATAAAATGTTCAATGTTTGGGTGTTATGTTATGTGGGGGTGGGTCATTGTCAAGGGGTTAATTGTAAATGCAGGATGTTAATTGTGCAGGCCAACGTTGGCCTGCTGTTGACAATGACCTTTAAATTTATGTTAATTACAAATAAAGCTGTGATATAATTTTGCCAAAACCATGGTGTCTGTGCTTTATTGGGGATTGGGGTATTTGGTGGGGGTTCTTAAGCAGAGGCAGACAAGGCGACTGTGCTCATGTCATGTGGATGACTGTTTTAACATTGCTTCAATTGTGTGAGATTTATTTAAATCCATTATGTTTATTCAGTATTTTCCCAATTATCTGTTCATATTTTGAGTGCTATAAATGCTAAATGATCAGACCCAGACAGACACCAGCCTCTGATGAAGTGACCCTGCCAAGTCAAGAAACGCATAAGGCTTTTCGGCAGTTGCCGCACAAGTATTCAGATACTGGGTCCCAGTGGAACGCAGATCGGGTTAACTAGGTGGAATGCACGCAAAGGATATTTCATCTCCTACCCCCCAATTTAAATTTTCCCCACCCCTTCCTGTCAAGGCCGCACTTTGACTGACAGATGCATACACTCATTGACAGACACACACTCTTATATACACTGACAAACAATGACATACACACACACTATTACTTGGACACACACTGCCAGACGTACACACACACTGACAGATGCACGCACTCACTGACCGACGCACGCACTCATTGACCGACACACACACACATCCACTCACAGACACATACACATTTTCCCCAACACTCACAAATTATTATTTAAATTATTATTAATTATTATTTTTATTATTTAATTTTAATTTTATTTTAAATCCACCCAGCCTCCCTGGCCAGCCGGCCAGCTTTTGAGCCCCCCAGGACATGAGGCAAACAAGGGATCTGTCTGGGCGTTTGGGGGCAGCTTTTTTTGCCGCCCCCTGAAAAGTGCCGCCCAAGGCAGATTTCTTGTTGCCTCGCGATAGACACGTCCCTGCTCCTAGTACGTGTAGGACTTTACATTCCTATTTTCCTACATTTATTTTCTAAGCCATTATGGGGGCTTATTTTTACTAGTAGAGAACGTCTGTGTGAAAGCCTATTATTCTACGAGGTCAAACCCCACAGAATAATTTCTGTCAACTATCCCATTTTTTCCACTCTACTAGGCCAGACTAGTCTGTCCATACAAACTTTTATGGTTAAATGGTGTTGTGACGGATCACCGCCACTTATTTGTATATTTTTTTTTCTGAATGTATTGCTTGACTGTGCCTCTCCCCCTCCCCCTTACTTTTCCTATCCTAGCAGGGTGTTGTCCCAGGGACACTGCAGGCCAGTTTAAACTAGCTTTTTTTGTCCCTCCTTAATCTCCCATCAGGATCTGGGGATTGAAACCCCTGTTGTATTTTGTTGAAGGCCCCATGTAGAGGTCTGTGCCTAAGAAACCATGTGTGACAAAATAAACCTCAATTCAGTTATACTCCCAGAGCTATGTGTCGTCTAGTTACTGGGGGATTTTGTCTTGAATATTTTACTGCTACTTCAGCTACAAGGATCATACAACAGAGATACCTATGCTAGGTATTGGAGCTCCTCTACAATTACGGAACGCCGTCGCTGGTGTGAATACTTATTGTGGAAAGAGCATCACGGCAACCGTAATCATTACAGTGGGCTGTAATGGTTGTTTGGCTTGAAGTGTTCCTTAATAATTATTTCTATTTGCTCTGCTCACTACATCTGCAAAAACATGTCATTTGGCAGATTTGTAGAGTTTGACAATGAACTTTGGAATCCTACATTTTTTTTCCAAACTGGCTATTGGCATGTAGTGTTATAAGCAACTGCATATCATAATTCAGTATGCTATAAACATTTATTCAACAATGCAATAGTTACACGACAAACCTGGGCAAATAGTCAAGTAGCAGAACCTGCTTTCAAGACAAAGTCACATTGTTTCAGTGAAGGTGACTTTTCTTTTCCCTTCATTTCCGGGGGACTTTTGAAGATTTTCCAAGCTGAGGTTTAGAATGAAATAGTTCAATGGTTTATAAACTTGTTTGGCGCTTTCCTATAGTGTGCCAAGCACAAGGCACGGAGGAGTATTTGAAATAGGAGTCCAGTAATTATAATACCATAGACACTGTCTAGCTTATCGTCAACTTCATAGTTGAAACATTCCATCAATACCAGATGACAACATTATTGTACTTAATGTTTCCTCATTATTAATATTGTAGCGGAATGGAGAACTCAAATAAACTTTTATTCCCTTTTGTTCGGCTGTCCATATGGCCCTGTTCGTTTTGCCGAACCCCCTCTCTGTGTGGCCCCTTGTTCGCACCTTTTAATTACTGACCACCCCTGGTTGTTAACCACAATTTGTTTATTAGTTCAAGTGCTTCCCCAGTGTGGCTGTTGTTCATATAACCGAATGCACGTGTTCAAACCATTGACGACCATTTTGTCTCCCATATGCGGGCAGCGGTACATGGTCGTCGACAGTGTGGAACTGTTTTCGGATACGCAACCCTGCGAACACCCGGGAAACTGGTATCGCTGCCCATCCAACTTCCCAAACAGGCATAAACTACTGAACAGGGGTAGCATGCATATCCTAACAGCCAGGGAATGGATTATTTAAGTGTTGAAAGTCTCACTGTGCGTTTGACATTCTCCACTATAAATTTATGCTGCGCTCATACAGCATGGTTCTTTCCTCTGCAAAAGTAAATTACTTCAATACCCTCATAACCACACTCTCCTGCGAACCCAAACGACTATTTCACACATTTAACTCTCTTCTTCGCCCTATTGTTCCTCCTCCACCTACTAACTTGACCGCCTCAGACTTTGCAACTCACTTCACTGACAAGATCCCTACAATCATGAAAGAGATCTCTCATTTTTCTTCTTCCCCGTACAATACTTCCCCTAACATCACTCCCTCTGCTGTTCTATGTTCATTCGCACCCGCTACAGCGGAAGAGGTTTCTGCTCTGCTCCAGTTCTCCTGCCCCACCACTTTTTAATTATTATTATTGCCATTTATATAGCACCAACAGATTCCGTAGCGCTTTACAATATTATGAGAGGGGGGATTTAACTATAAATAGGACAATTACAAAAAACTTACAGGAACGATAGGTTGGAGAGGACCCTGCACAAACGAGCTTACATTCTATAGGAGGTGGGGTGTAAAACACAATAGGACAGGAAATATCAATCAAATAGGGTGGGAGTAAAGCAGAGCTGGAGGAGAGAGTAGAGTGATTCCCTTAAGGAGAGCGCAAGAGACAGGTATGTGAGGTAGAGGTTAGTCTGGGAGGCCATAAGCTTTCCTAAAGAGATGGGTTTTAAGGCACTTCTTAAAAGATGCAAGACTAGAGGAGAGTCTGATGATGGTAGGCAGGCTATTCCATAGGAAGGGAGCCGCCCGCGAGAAGTCCTGCCAGCGTGAGTTGGCCGTACGGGTGCGAACAACGGACAGGAGGTGGTCACTTGATCCCTAGATACAATTCCCTTTCTTCTCATCTGTACTCTGTCTTCTTCTCTTTCTCTACCTCTCACTAAAATTCTCAATCTCTCTCTCCGTTGGCATATTTCCATCACCCTTCAAACATGCAAATGTAGCCCCAATTTTAAAGAAGCCCAACCTTGACCCTAACTCCCCATCCAACTATCTCCCTATATCGCTACTGACATTTGCCTCCAAAATCCTTGAGAGAGTTGTGTATGCAAAATTGACAGACTTCCTCGAGTCCAACTCTCTGCTTGACCCATTTCAGTCTGGATTCAGCGCTCGTCACTCTGTTGAAACAGCTGTTACCAAAGTATCCAACAATTTAATCGCTGCTAAATCTTGCGGCCATTACTCTATCCTAATTCTTCTTGATCGTTTTACTGCAATTGACTCTGTTGATCATCAACAGCTTCTTCTCATTCTCAATAATCTCGGTCTATAAGATACTGCTCTCTCCTGGTGCTCCTCCCACCTCACCCAGCGCTTTTTCAATGTTTCTTTCTCTGGGTCTCTCTCTTCTCCGCAAGCCCTCTCTGTTGGCGTTCCCCAAGGTTCTGTCCTTGGTCCCCTACTGTTCTCCATCTATACTGCCTCCCTTGGTAAACTCATCATCTCCTTCGGCTTCCATTAACATTTATATGCAGATGACACCCAAATCTACCTGTCCTCTCCTGATCTCTCTCTGCCCATCTTGACTTGTGTCTCTGACTGCCTCTCTGCAATTTCCAACTGGATGGCTGCTCACTTCCTTAAACTCTATCTGTCCAAAACAGAATTTCTGGTCTTTCCTCCATCAAGTGTTGCTACTCCCATGTCTGTCTCCCTCCAAGTCAACGGCGCCACCATCACCTCGACCTTGCAGGCTCGCTGCCTAGGTGTTCTCTTTGACTCCGACCTCTCCTTCACCCCTGTCAGGGTATTTATATCGGCAGACATTTTGTGCTATGATAGAAACTAAAAGTGTATATTCTGAGTCACTCTGAACAGACCAGACTCCATTTTGTTATTCCAAATTAACAAAGAAGACACTAGATTTCTTTCTGTAAGACTGGCCTCTTTGCCAGAGCTAAGGAATGCATAGCATAGTAAAAACAAGTGATAAGAAGAATATAATCAAATCTAAACCCAGACAATTGTGACAGAGAAGATTAAATAATAAAATTTAACTGTCTATATATATATAAGGTACCATTGTATGGAAAAGGGTAAACTTAGTTCATGATCTGTCATATCAGAAATTATAGCAGATTTGCAGACACATAGTCTGGACAAAATTTAAGAACCCCTTTGATCTTTGAAGGATACGTAAGTTATAGCCACTATCTAGATAGGCCAAAATGACGTCAAAATAGCCACCAGGAAAAGTTAACTCTTTCCTGGATAGGTATGTTTAGTGGGACAAGACTGCCCTCTACAGACCAAATAACTAATTTGCGATCTGGAAGATAACCACACCTCTAGTGCTTCTATTGGGTTATCAACTGATGACGTACAGAGAGTCTGGCCCTTTAAAAGTTAAGACAAAGGAAAGACGAGAGAAGGGTATGCAAGAGATGCAAAGGAGAGGAGAGAGGAATTGGAAGTTTGGGGACTCCAACCTCCATGCAGAGAGACATCCAAATAAGTTCCTGAGACTACCAATCGGATGAAATATCTACTCAACTGGTAATTATACTGGTTTCATTTAATTAATTTAATTAATTAAAATGTATTAATAGCATTATATATGACTGGATAAAGCACGGTCAGATTTCCATATTAAGAAATCTTAGTTAACTAAGAATATATAGTTATAAACATTCCATTCTGCAGGTGGAATTAAGAACAATTATATATTGATGTGATATTATCACGTGTTAGCATACCGCTGTTTTTATCCAGGTGTATTGATTTGCTCTAAATTAAGATAGATATCTTTTAGACAAATTAAAAATCTGCTTATATAATATGTTAGATTCTCTTATTGGATGGTTTTCAGGAAATGACTAATGAACTGGGTTAAATGTTATTTTATTTAAAATGACATAAGAATAGATCTTAACTACCTAGGAGATCTAGCCAGCATTGGAAGGGTTATTCTAACTGTCTGCTAAATTTTACGACCTTACGCTGCACTCTGAGGAATTCTGTTCTTCCCTGTGAAAAGTTTCACTTAAGTCTGTGTTAAGGATACCTCATAAATCGTCAGAATTCTTGACAGGAAATGCTATTTAGCCATTGAAACGTAATACCCATTCCTTTGTATTGCATATCATTTTATACTGAATATTCATTGATTATTGTCATGCATGTTGCATAATATTATTATTGATTAATTTGTCATATAAATAAAAATCTATTTTTATACATTGTGATATTAATTATATGAAATACATTCCACTTAACACGATAAACGTTCTTTGGGATCTGAGAATTGAATTAGTGGGCAATTCTCACTGTTACTATTATTATCCCATAAATATCCCCACACCCCTCATGTCCAGTTGACCACCAAATCCTGCCGCTTCCATCTCAAAAACATAGCTTGGATCTGCCCCTATTTAACACCAGATGCAGCTAAGGTGCTGGTCCATGCCGTTGTTCTTACTTGCCTTGACTACTGCACTCACCTTCTTAGTGGTCTTACGTGTTCCCATATTGCACCGCTGCAATCTTGTCAGGATCTTACTTGATGTGGAGTCCAACGTGCAGAGTAATACGCTTACCCTTGCAAATAAACACAGACCAAGGTGACCAGGTAAGAAGCCACCTGGGCTGTGAGTCTGTGCACAGGGGCTGTGCAGAAATATAGCTCCAAGTCACAGTACTGCCAAGGACAAGCAGAAGAGTAGTCGTGAAAAGCCGAATTAAGGGGAGGCCAGAGCTCAGAGTAAAAGTGGAGATAAGCCAAGGTCAGGAGCCATCTGGAGAACACTGGATCAAGATACACAAAAACAAAAACCAGAGGCAAAGAACTGACACTCCCCTCAGAGAGACGCAGTGTTTTATACTTGGGAATATACAAAACAAAGGGAACAGCGCTAAAATAAAACAATACTATAAATATGGAAAGTAGAAGGCTCATCAGGCTCCACTAAAGAGTTTGTTTTGATATTACTATACTTTGGACTTTGCTCATATTAGCTGGACTACAGCAAGGTTTGTCGCAACCTTCATTTGTCTTGTCTAGTGTTTTATACTTGACTAATTAGTGATATGCTTCAGGTGGACTAGGAACAAGAATTGAAGTGTGGCTCAGAGGCAAGACTGCAGGACAAGGACACTGAAGGATCCAGGTTCATATCCCCTGTTGGGCAGTTCTGGGGTGACCATGTCTGGCCGTCTGGATGTTGTGGTGAGAACCATGACGAATCTATAATTAATGCTACGGCAAGGCTCATTTTCCTATCTCCACTCCTTCAAAAAATATTTGAAAACACATTTCTTCAGGAAAGCATATCATTTAAACTATTAGCAGATATTCATCCCCCCCATTGTACAGGGCTATGTAATTTGCTGGAGCTATATAAATAATAATGTTCAAACTTTTGCAATCATATAATGAGACCACAATTCTTTAAAATTCCATTTTTACATTCAGGGAACTCTAACAGCAGTCTAGGTGGAAACGGACATGCAGTTTTTATTTATTTCCCTGTTTCTGAGCAGAGAATGAAGCACAAAACATACCATAGACACCAACTTGGTTTTCAAACACTGTCTGACCCAAGGTACGTGTAAATGGCTGAAGGATGCTGTCGTATACTAAAGGTAGGAATGATTTATTTGTTTTTACATTGTGGCTTTGAATTTTTGGTGATTTATTTTTCTTCTTTTTTTTTCTTCAAGAGTTGCTTTGTATGATTATGTTTTTTGGGGGGCCTATTTTGTTGCTGAAAATAATAAGAAAAAGACTTCAGATGGTAAGTATAAATATATATTATAGGCATTCGTTTTAATGGCCCCTCTTACTATTTGTAGGATTATAGGGGGTAGTTAGGGTTTATCTATTTTAAGTAGGGTAGCTATGGGATTGGTGACCAAACCTCTCTAAGGGGATTAAACAATAGCAATTTTGGGGGGTGGGACCTTGAACTGCCCTGTTTTGTTCAGGACTTGTCTGCGCAGAGCTAGCTTTCATTTGGAGTTGGAAATCTCTCTGACAAGATCAGGAATGTTATTAAAAGGGAAAAAATAACATTGTAAGATAATAAAAAGTGGCAAATCAACTTGCTGATATAAATAAATCTTCAAAAATACTGCATGAAAAAGAAAGCAAGACTACCAATAACATTGTATAACCTTTTATTAAATATATTATGTTTTTACATTTTGGGCCTTTAAGGGTTTCTGATTACATCTCAGATTTAGGACAGCCAATTACATTGATACTGCCAATATGTGACAAATGTGTCATTGACCTAGCATGTTCTTTAAACAATAGCAATTTGTGGGAGGTGGGCGTGAGGGAGAGGGGACCTATTAACCCTATAGTTCCAGGAAAACGGCTTTGTTTTCCTGGCACTATAGGATCCCTTTAATGAGACAGTTTTGTGTATGAATCACACATTTAACCCCTTAAGGACCAAACTTCTGGAATAAAAGGGAATCATGACATGTCACACATGTCATGTGTCCTTAAGGGGTTAAGGGGTTTAAGTCTCAGTGCTCAATTCATTGCTGTATAGGACTTAAATCACTTGTTTTTTTTTCTGTCCATGCTTCTCTAGTCACACTTCCCCTGGCTGTGACTCACAAAGCGTGCATGAAATAAAGCAATGGTTTCATTTTTAATCAGATGTTAACGTGCTTTAGAAGTGTTTATCACCTGCTCTGTAAATTGAACTTTAATCACACAGGCTCCTGCAAGGTCTGGCAAGCTAGTAACAGTGCAGGAGATAGGAAATCCTATATTAAACAGACTGTTCAATTAAAGTATAAACATTAGATCTCCCTTTACAGGAAGTGTTTAGGAAAGCTGTGCAAATTACATGCAGGGAGGTGTGACTGGGGCTGCATAAACAAAGTGGCAGATTATTGAGCAGTGAGAATGCAGAGACATGATCTACACACCAAAACTGCTTCATTAAGTTAAAGTTGTTTTGGTGACTAAAGTGTTCCTTTAGGGTACATCTAAACAGGCATTTCAGGTATTGCATATTTGTAAATGTATTATGTCATTCATATTGCTAATTATGTTTTAATGTCAGTGCTTATTTGTCCATTAATTATTGTAATTGATTTAACAAAACACTTAGATATATTTTGGATCTTGGCTATATATTAGAAAATACCTTTTATAATAATTAGAGGTATTGAAACCATGAAGTTTTTTTTAAGGTCCATCAATGTATTGGTCTTCTTTGACAGGGTTGGGATTGCTGAAATTTAACTGTTTAACGTAAGCTATTAGTTTCATTTTTACTGAACTGATAAAAGTGATGGAATAGTGACCACATCAAAATGATCAACTCATCGGCAGTCATTAACATGTTGATAAATATTAGGCTTGTGCATTCAGTTGCAAAAAATAGCAATTTGTTCAAATTTAGAGCGCATAAAGATTTGTCCATAAAGTCCTGAGCACTAAAACACTATACTGACGAATCACAAAATGTGCATTTTATTTTATTATTTGCAGTTCCCTCTGTGGCACAAAAAAAAAAAAAGATTGATGTCTAGTGGACAGCCACTAAATGTTGACTAGAGAGGGAATAAAAATAAGAAGCAGTAAAAAAAAAAAAGTTATAATATGTATTTAATAAATATTTACTGATAATATCAGTATTATTAATGCTATTACCATTTGTATTCTGTATGTATTTTGCAATATACTGATTGGCCAAATATTTAACCATTTGATTCATCTGAATCATTTTGCCCAAAATGACTGCATGGACAACTACAAAAGCCGGCACTATAACACTACCAGAGCAAAATCCAAATTACTTGACACAATTTTTTTTTTTTGGGATGAACGTATTTGGACAAATTAAATTTTTTCACTGTGCACAAGTGTAAGAAATATTGAATATGAGATTGTAATATCATTAACAAGGTGTAGATAAGGTTACCATATCCACCATGTTTTCAGGGACACATAATTATGTCATATTTATGAAAACGCTTGAAAAGGGTTGTCTTGCAGTGTGTATAATTCAGGATGCATAATTCTGAGGGATTTTTCATTGCTTTATTACTTACTCTTATACAGCTTCTTCTGAATTCTACATACTATAGGGCAACCCTTTATATGTACTGCCCATCAATATGTATGTCCCTGAATATGTCTCTCTGAAAACATAGTAAATATGATAACGCTATAGATGTATAGATGCCCTAAAAATAGTATTTAAAAAATATATAATAAAAACATTAAAAAAAATATTTAAATATATTATACCTAAAAATTTAATTTATTTCTTTACATTTGCACTTTAACTGAGAGAGTGACTCTGCTCAGAACAGATGGTTAATGGGATTGTAGTGGGTGCAGTGTTTCTGTGCATCAATTCAGCAGTCCTGCAGCCATTTTTGGTTCATTTATGCAGAGAGTTTTATGCAGAAAGGCGTTAGCAACATACAAGTGTTAATGCATTTATCTTGGTTAAGAGTATGCTTTCATGAAAGTGGTGTGCAATTTAATTCACAT